TGGAGCTACAAATTGATCCAGTTTCTTTTGTTTACTTTTTGAGTTTATTATTATTTTTTAGAGACAGAGTCTCATTTTGTTGCCCTCAGTAGAGTCCCGTGGTGTCACAGCTCACAGCAACCTGCAGCTCTTGGGCTTAGGCGATTCTCTTGCCTCAGCCTCCCTAGTAGCTGGGACAATAGGTGCTAGCCACAATGCCCAGCTATTTTTTTTGTTGCAGTTTGGCCGGGGCCGGGTTTGAACCCACCACCTTCAATATATGGGGCTGGGGCACTACTCACTGAGCCACAGGCGCTGCCCAGTTTATTATTTTTTTGAAACAGGATTTTACTCTATTGCCTTAACTAGAGTATAGTGAGGTCATCATAGCTCACTGTAGCCTTGAATTCCTGGCTCAAGTGATCCTCCTGCCTCAGCCTCCATAGTACTGGGACCACAGGTGTGCAACACCATGCCTCACCAATTTTTCTATTTTTTAGTGACAGGGTCTCACTATGTTGCTCAGGTTGTTCTTGAACTCCTGGATTCAAGCAATCCTCCCCCACTGGCCTCCCATAGTGCTTGTATTATAGTTAAGACGCCTTTGGCTCTAAGTAAAAAGAAAACTTGAAGTGAAATAATAGTGAAATTTATTTTTCCCATAAACATTTGATAACTACTATCAAGGACCAGACCTTTTGACTCTACCATCCATCCCTAATCTGGTCAGCCTTGTCCCCAGGTTAGCTTTCCATAAGGCTTTAAGATACCTGCCAAAGTCCCGTTCACTAGGAATTATTTTTGTGCATCTCTCTCTCTCTTCCTTTTTCACTTGCACTCATTTGTTGTACATCTTTAACAGCACGGAAACTTTTCCTAGGACCCCGCCCCACCCCACCACAGCAGACTTTGCTATACAGTCCAGAAAGCCAGCAGCCCATCCCCAGGCAACCACCGGCAAGGCGGAGGGACTACTAGGATAGTCCCTCCAAACCAAACTCATTCCTGGGGCTGGCACTCCAAGCATCCCTGATGTTTCTGGCTGTTTGGAAGAAAGAACAAAATTAGGAAGAAGGGAGATGGGGATAAGGACCAGGTATAAACTGTGCAACCAGTGGTGTTGGGGCGGCACCTGTAGCTCAGTGGATAGAGTGCTGGCCACATACACCCAGGCTAGTGGGTTTGAACCTGGTCTGGGCCTGCTAAATGATGACAACTGAAACAAAAAATAGCTGGGCATTGTGGCAGGCGCCTGTAGTCCCAGCTACTTGGGAGGCTGAGGCAAGAGAATCACTTAAGCCCAAGAGTTTGAGCTTGGTGTGAGCTGTGAGTCCACGGCACTCTACCGAGGGCAACATAGTGAGGCTCTGTCTCAAAAAAAAAAAAAAAAAAGAAAGAAAGAAAACGAAAAAAAGAATATGATTCATAGCTCAGTGTATGCAGCTAGGGTGCCAGCCACATATACCAGGGCTGGCATGTTTGAACCCAGCCTGGGCCTGCCAAACAACGACAACTACAACAACAAAAAGCGGGCATCGTTGTGGGTGCCTGTAATCCCAGCTACTTGGGAGGCTGAGGCAAGAGAATAGCTTAAGCCCAAGAGTTTGAGGTTGCTGTGAGCTATGATGCCACAGCACTCTACCAAGGGCGACTTAGTGAAACTCTTGTCTTAAAAAAAAAAAAAAAAACGAAAAGAAAATGATTCATAGGCCAGTGTGGTGGCTTATGTCTATAATCCTAGCACTCTGGGAGGCATGAACCTTGTCTCTACTAAAAATAGAAAAAAAGTAGCCAGGCCTGGTGGCAGGCACAGATAGTCCCATCTACTCAGGAGGCTGAGGCAAGAGGTTTGCTTGAGCCCAGGAGTATGAGGTTGCTGTGAGCTATGATGGCATAGCACTCTACCCAAGTGACAGTGTAAGAGTGTCTAAAAAAAAAAAAAAGATTAATAGTCTAAGAAAAGTACAGGAAAACGAGATCTAAGAGAGTGAGGGGAGAATGATTAAAATCTAGCTCTGGACCAGGCACAGGGGTGCATACCTGGACTGGTGAGGGTGCAGTGGGAGGATCACTTGACACTTGAGCCCAAGAGTTTGAGTTCAGCCTGGGCAACATTGCAAGACCCTGTCTCAAACACAAAAACCCCACAAACAGTTCTAGGGCTGTCCCACCTTTCCAAGGTAGAGCTCTGCTCTTCTTCGCACCCCAGACTGTGCTAGTGCCCACACTGTCGGGCACAACATTGACATCTCAGGGAAACTACTCAAGAGCTCTGGACCCCAAGGAACACATATCATGTTTCCCACTGTTCTGCCAAAGACAGCCTTGGTATGTGTCATTCAGAGTTGGAGTTGTAGGGGACTTGACTCTCGGTTCAGGAAATATGCTAGTGTGAGAGTAGAAGCCAAGTGGAGCACCCTGAGTAGCAGAAGTGTGTCAAGCCTCACAGCCTACTTTTTTGAGACAGCATCTCACTATGTCACCCTCAGTAGAGTGCTGTGACATCACAGCTCACAGCAACCTCAAACTCTTGGGCTTAAGTGATTCTCATGCCTCAGCCTCCCAAGTAGCTGGGACCACAGGCACCCGCCACAATACCCAGCTATTTTTTGGTTGTATTTGTCAGTGTTGTTCAGTAGGCCCAGGCCGGGCTTGAACCCAGCAGCCTTGGTGTATATGGCCAGTGCCCTACTCACTGAGCTACAGGCACCACCATGAATCATCTTTTTTTTTTTTTTGAGACAGAGCCTCAAGCTATCCCCCTGGGCAGAGTGCCGTGGCATTACAGCTCACAGCAACCTCCAACTCCTGGGCTCAAGCGAGTCTCCTGCCTCCGCCTCACAAGTAGCTGGGACCACAGGTGCCCGCCACAACGCCCAGCTGTTTTTTGGTTGCAGCCATCATTGTTGCTTGGCGGGATGAATCATCTTCTTAACAAATTCCAATTTATCTCATCTTCTTACCCCTTGCCCCAACTTTATCCCCCTTTCCCCTGAACTCCCACAGTAACCATCTTTGTGTCCACTGAATTTATAACCATTCAGTGATCTCCCTTATGTGTTAGAAGCTTAGAGACAGTATCAGACACTAAGGTAGGAAAGTAAGTTTTAGCAGCTGAGTGCTGCGTGGGGGTAAGTTCTTTTCACACATACTAGCTTACTTTATCCTTACTACATAGTGGTATTGAAGGTTATTTTAACCTTCATGTTATAGTTTAGGGGCATTCAGGTTCATAAGTTAAACTACCTACTCAGAGACATTAAGCTCAAGATCACAAACTATTAAGAGCCTGTGACTGCCTAACCTCTATGGTTTCACAATTACAAAACACATTTGCACAAATTAATTTAAGCCTCATATCAGTAGAGTGAGCAGTAGAATCTGTGTTTTTATTTTGAGACAGAATCTCACTATGTTGCCCTTTGTGGAGTGCCGTGGCATCACAGCTCCCAGCAACCTCAAACTCTTGGGCTTAAAAGATTCTTGCCTCAGCCTCCCAAGTAGCTGGGACTACAGGGGCCCACCACAATGCCTCGCTATTTTTTTGTTATAGTTGTCATTGTTGTTTAGCACACCTGGGCTGTGTTTGAACTCGCCAGCCCTGGTGTATGTGGCCCGTGCCCTAACTGCTGAACTATGGGTGCCGAGCCAGAATCTGCATTTTAGAGGACAGTGGGGCCAGACTTGCCCAAAGGCATGCAGAACTTAGCTTTTTCAACTCCCACCCACGTTAGTGCGCATCTTGCCACTGTGGAGTGTTATTTGGCACAGCATGGCCTATTTGCTGACTGGATGATTAAGATATAACAGGTACTCAAAAATAATTTTTTTTTGTAGAGACATATTGGCCTTGGTAGAGTGCTGTGGCGTCACACACAGCTCACAGCAACCTCCAACTCCTGGGCTTAAGCAATTCTCTTGCCTCAGCCTCCCGGAAAGCTGGGACTATATGTGCCCGCCAGAACACCTGGCTATTTTTTGATTGCAGTTTGGCTGGGGTCGGATATGAACCCACTACCCTCAGTATATGGGGCGGGTGCCCTACTCACTGAGCCACAGGTGCCGCCCCAATAATTTTTTTTTTTTTTTTGAGACAAAGTTTCACTCTGTTGCCCAGGCTAGAGTGTTGTGCCACCATCACAGCTCACAGCAACATCAAAACTTCTGGGTTGAAAGGATCTTCCTGCCTCAGCCTCCCAAGTAGCTGAAATGCCCACCACAATGCACAGCTAATTTTTCTACTTTTAGTAGAGATGGGATATCACTCTTGCTCAGGTTCAAACTCCTGAGCTCAAGGGATCCACTTGCCTCTACCTTCCAGAGTGCTAGGATTATAGGCCTGAGCCACCATGCCAGGCTTCAATAAATAATTCTTATTAAATTGTATTATTGAAAATAAACCTACTGTTACTGCCTAGAGGCCTCTAGGTTCCTTTTATCCCTTTTTTTTTTTTTTTTTGAGACGGAGCCTCAAGCTATACCCCTGGGTAGAGTGCCATGGCATCACAGCTCACAGCAACCTCCAACTCCTGGGCTCAAGCGGGTCTCCTGCCTCAGCCTCCCAAGTAGCTGGGACTACAGGCGCCCGCCACAACGCCTGGCCATTTTTTGGTTGCAGCCATCATTGTTGTTTGGCGGGCCCTGGCTGGACTCAACCCCGCCAGCTCAGGTGTATGTGGTTGGCGCCTTAGCCGCTTGAGCCACAGGTGCCGAGCCTATCCCTGTCTTTTATCATCTTCCCTCAATGCTTGGGCTCCCCTCTAGAGACCCTCTTCCCCCAGGAACTCCATCCCCTCCCCAAAGACTCACAAGGGGGCACAATATCATGTCTTTTCACATAGGTGCTCTTATGGTGCTCAGGAAGGAAAGATAGTTTTTCAGATAGAGCCGAATGGGAAGCTGTGCTCCTCAGCTCTTCCTTGCCCCACATGGCAAGATGGTATGTCCTGGGCCTGAGAGCCTTTGTTTTCCAATTCCACTGGCCCCTCCCTGCCAGCCCCACCCCCTTCCTGTTCCCCCATAGCCCTGGACACAGTACACACAGTCCAGAGCCTCAGCTCAAAGGGAAACAAAAGGAGCTGCCTAGGTTCCCATGGCTGTTGCCAGCACCTTCATACCAGGGCTCAACTCTCAGAACCCTCATTTCATCCCGGGGTAAGACCTACCCAGAGCAGCCTCTGCTTGCTTATAAGAATAGGGGTATAGGGACATAAGTGTTATGCCACCTAGACCTCGGGACCAGACATATTGGTTTATGGGCCCAAGGTTGGGGTCTCTATGGTGTTTCATGTAAAAGGGAGAGAAAGGGAATGGTGATGGCCAGATTTGCTACGAAGCTTTGTGTTGTCTTCTCCATGGGAACAGGGTAGGATAGGAAGGATAGAAAGCCCAGGGAGAGAACTTAGAATTGCCTGCTCCAAAAGTATATTAACAGCTGCATCCAGAAATATCAGGGCTCCAGAGGTCTGATTCTGTCCCTGGCGAGGGAGGCAGGGGGACTCTGAGGTGAGTCGGTAAGTCCTGTGCTACAGGTACACTGGACACTGCCCTCTACTTCGGTTCAGCATGGGCCAGACCTATGGGCAGGTGACTGGCAAGCTACTTCGAGGTCCTCCTGGTCTAGCCTGGCCCCCTGCCCATCGCACACTTCTGCCTCCCATTCAGCCTCCAAGATCTCCTGAGGTTCCCAAGGGGAGCCTGCCTGCCAGGTGTGGGCATGCAAGCCTCAGCTCCAGCATGATCCCTGGGTACACAGGTCTGTACACAGGTATGAACAGGTATCCCCTTCCCAGAGTATGTATTTCAAATACTAACAGAAATCCTCCTTGCCCCCTGCTTGCCCAGGTTTCGTACCCCGGGCACAGTTCATCTTTGCCAAGAACTGCAGCCAGGTCTGGGGCGAGGCTCTGAATGAGTCTACTCAGTCGCGTGGGGTGAAAGGGAGTAAAAATCTGGTGCAGGAGGCTAAGGGAGAAAAAGATATGGAGAAAAACCAAGAGCCAAAGCTGGGGCTGGAGCTGGAGAAGAAGCCAACCCTGGAGGAGGCAGAACACGTGAGACCAAGGAGGCTGGTGGGTGGGGAGTGCAGGTGGTGGAGGTGGGGAGCCTTATGCCTGTGTGTCCAGGTCTGGGGATGGCCATGGGTAGGGTGGCTGTGGCTATAGGGGGATGTGGTCTTCACTGCCCACTCCACCTCCCTGGGAGTTTGTCTTACAGCCAAGGGGCTGAATGTGACAGCTCTATTTTTCTTTTATCAACTTCTGACAACAGGCTTCTCCCTATTCCATGGATGACACAGATCCTCAGAAGTTCTTCATGTCAGGTAGGTGAGAAGAGGTGAGTGATGACCGAAAGGTTGTGAAGGCCTCAGGAAGTTTTGACTCAGTGTCCCCATCTCCCCAGGCTTCACTGGTTATGTGCCCCGTGCTCGCTTTCTCTTCGGCTCCAGCTTTCCTGTGCTTACCAACCAGGCATTGCAGGAATTTGGGCAGAAGTACTCACTGGGTGGAACCCAGAAGGATCCCAAACATCTCCCCCCACTTCTCAGAACCTACGAGCAGAACCTGGGTCTCTTACCTAACTATGGGGGCTATGTGCCAGGTGAGACTAGCCCAGAGAAGGGCTTTGGGAGTTAGAATGTTTGTATGGGTTAAGGAACAGGTGGGGATGGTTTGGAGGGTGGGAACTAATAGATATGAGGGGACTGTAGATCATGTGGTTCAGCTTTTTTTTGAGACAGTTTCACTATGTCACCCTTGGTAGCGTGCTGTGGCATCACAGCTCACAGCAACCTCAAACTCTTGGGCTTAAGAGATTCTCTTGCCTCAGCCTCCCAAGTAGCTGGGACTACAGGTGCCTGCCACCAACACCTGACTATTTTGTGTTGTTGTTGTAGTTGTCATTGTTGTTTGGCAAGCCTGGGCTGGGTTTGAACCTGCCAGCCCTGGTGTATATAGCTGGTGCCTTAGCCACTAAGCTGCAGGTGCGGAGTCAGGTTCAGCTTTATCATTAGGCAGAAAAGGAAACTGAGAAAGCTCACAGTTGGGAGTGAGGACCAGATTTCAGGGGGAGTTTGGAGGGTCTAGGCCAGGTGTTCTCAAACTACAGCCCATGGGCCACATGCGGCCTGCTTAGGACATTTATCCAGCCCGCCAGGTGTTTTTGGCACCGCTGCCTGTCCTGCTTAGCAGCCAACTCATCCCAGGGCCCGCAGTCCAGCCCTCCAATGGTCTGAGGAACTGGCCCCCTGTTTAAAAAGTTTGAGGACTCCTGGTTGGCTGAGAATTAAATTTTCCATGACACTGGCTACACCTGACAGACTCTCTTGGCCACACAGGGTATAAGTTCCAGTTTGGCCACACATTTGGGCATCTCACCCGTGATACTCTGGGCCTCAGCACCATCCAGAAGCAGCTCCTGGCTTAGGCACTTGGATTTCAAGTTCTCCTTTCCCTCTTCATCCTATCCCAGCCATCCTTCTGGAAGGATGGGGGCAACACAGAGAAAATGGGAGGATGCAGGCAACACAAAGAGAAAATGGTTGGAGGCTGAGCACCTTTTTTATTAATAGGTGTAATAAATAAATAAATACATACATGAACAGAAGCCTGGGCTCCTCCTCCCACTTCTGATGACCAGGCACTGACCACAGCCTATTTACAGCTGGGGGGCTTGGGGATTGGCCCCAATACTATTTATTACCCATCCTCATCGCCACCTGCCCTAGGGAGCCCTACAAATGGCCTTTTGGGCTACCTCCCTCCATAGGACTGGCCCTCCAGAGGGACAGGAGGGGCTGGCCCAGAGGGGCAAGGGAAATCCTGGCAGCCCAGTGCTGCGTCCCTTCCCTCCTTTTCTGGGTGGAGGTCTGGACGAGGTCACTGGGACAGTTAAAGGGGAGAATTAATACTGAGCACAGGGAGCAGGTGCCAGCACAGGCCACATATTGGCCCCTAGCTCTCAGCCTACTCTTTGTGGCCAAGCCAGAGGGCTTGGGAAAGGCTCTCAGGCTCCAAATCTAGGGGTTATGAGGGTCCCTGAGGCCACCAGCATGCACAGGGCCTCAGTTTTGGCTGCTTCCAGGGGTAGGACTTGGAGTTGGGGTCAATGTCACGTAGGCCAGAGGTACCAGGCCAGAGTCAGGGCCACGGCTGCAGCGTAGCCAGTCTCCTCCAGCGGGCCCCAGTACCCGTAGGATATCTCCCTTGCGGAAGCTCAGCTGTCCAGGACCTGTGGCAAGATGGTGGCATAATGCCTGCACCTCACTGGGAAAACAACAAATGAAGGTCAGAGAAACCCGATCAAAAGCCAAACCCAGCCCCGTAATCCTTCCATTTCTCCAGACTCACCATGGAGGATTGGAGGGCAGGGCTGGAGAGTGTGGCTCATGTAAGAGCTCTTTGGGCTCCGGCTCCCGGCGGGCATTCATTGTCTGAGCTACTAGTTGGAACATGGACTTGTCCAGGCTCAGCCAGTCTGAGGGGAGCCTAGGAGAAAGCAGCGGGGCTCTGGTTCTGCCCGTGCCCTGGCTTGGACCAGGCTCCCCACTCCCTCTGTCCTTAACCTAGGCAGGCTCTCACCTGTTTGTGGCTCGGGCCTCCCGCTGAACTTTTCGGGACCCAAAGAGGTGTCCCCACTTGATGCCCCCAGGTGAAGGGTCTGAGGCTTCTTCTTCATTCTCTGCTGGTGGGGCAGTGGGGCCTTCCCTCTCCCGATTAGGCCTCAGCTCAGCCAGCACAGAGTCAGGGGGGCTCCCCATCCAGAATGGCCAGCCCCTCTCCCGGCCAAGTGCCTCCTCTGGGGCAGGGCAGGCTTCAGCCCCCTCTACTACTCCCTCTCGGGGTGGTGGAGCCTGGGGAGGCACCCCACCTCCTGACCCTTTCTTTTTCTCACTGCTACTGTTGCTGCTGCTGTTGCTGCTACCACGAGGGAACCTAGATCCCTCAGTGGAGCCATCGATGTAGACCTGGGAGCTCTGCATGAGCTGGTACCACCAGCTGGCCTGCCCACCTCGGGCCCATCTGCCACGTCCTGAGTCCCCAGCTGCTTCTGCCACCTCTTCCGTCTCCTCTTCCTCTTCTTCACCTTCTGGGGCACCCACACCCTTCACCCGCTCCCCATGGGCTGCCCTGTCCGTGTCTCCAGGGCCCTCCTGGCCCCGGGACCGGGCCAACTGCAGTGTTGAGTGGGCAGACAGCAGCAGGTCCTGGGACACCCGTAGCAGTTCCTTCTGTTGCCGCTGCTGCTGCCCACTTTGCAGCAGCCGGTGCTGGAACAGCAAGTCGAGGCTGAAGGGCAGCAGGGCCAGGGGTTGTAGCAGCAGCAGCAGCTCCTCAAAGAGGCCAGGGCACACAGTGTGAGCTGCACTGAGGAAGCCCCAGGGCTGGTAGTGGGTTTGAATGATATCTAGGAGGACAAAGAGAAAGATTAATCCACACAGAGAAGCAGAGCCAGGCCTGAGTGGGACTTTGAAAGACAAGCTGGGTAGAGCCACTGTGTTTTGCTGCACTGGGGCTGCACCAGGCAATTCAGATGCACAGCCATGTAGTGACACCTCCCGTGATCGTATAGTGCATTAACTCCACAACCCCAGGGTGTTTTTTGGTTCAGTGGAGAGAGAGGTGCTGGGGTTCCTGACTACCCTGACTTCCAGATTGCTTGAATATTGTGCTGACTCCAGGCAGAAGCGGGGGAAGGCCTTGGGAAGGAGCTTAAAGCTCTGAGGATGAAAACTCAGTGGTCCCTCTTCCCATCTCTAGCATCTGAAAAGACAGCTTTTCCTCCCTCCTTTGAGCTTCTGAGGTCTGGCCCTTATTGAGTTTGTGAGACAGAGCAGGGTTCTGGGCATTACCTTCGTGGTTATAGAGGTGATTAAACCAGAACTCCAGGGACCGGATGCTGTAGGGAAACAGTGAAAAAAGTAGTCTTATTATATATATAGCCAGATAATAAGGTACAAAGGAGATGGACACAGGGGGTCAGATACAGGGAGGAAGTATCAGTTAATGACTTCCTTTTATGGCAGGGATGCTTCCTGGTTTATTTCATGTAATATGGTTTCAGAAAATCAGTGGGGATATGGAGAATGTGGATTCATGAGCCAATCACTTCTTCCTAGAATGGAGTCAGCTTGCAGTAGACCCAAAGGAGTCAGGGAAGCTACTGAGTGAAAGTACAGCCAGCTCAGGGCCAGAGGGTTGACCTGGGCCTATATTTGAGAAAGAAAAACACTACAACGTGGGTCCCAAGGTGGATTTAGGGTCAGGGAGGATTCGGAAGCCATGCTGGAATTCAGAGGATCAGGGTTTACAAGATCAAAAGAAATTCAGAAACCCAACTAATTGCCAAATAAGCCAGATTATATATTTGTAAAAGCAAAAACCATGTTGGTAATCAGTGTCAGAGGGTCACGGTGCAGTGGGAAAACAGTGATCTACTGACAGGTGGTAGGTAGGTGGGGACAAAGTGAGGCTGAGCCCTGGCTGCAGACCCTGCAGATCCACCCTTTGTGTCTTAGTGGAGGGAGCTGGTTCCTTAAAAGAGGCAGAAGCTGGGTAGAGGGCCAGTTCTTTAGGAGCTATTGCTGCTCTGCATACTCACTTGAGCAGGCCAAGGATGAAGGCGTTGAAGCGCATGGTATGACTGGTGAGCTCTGGGAATTGGCTGACCTTATTGTAGAGGCCATGCAGGACCTTGGTGGATGGGCCTGGGAGGAAGCCAGGGTTGAAGATCACACAGCCAATTTCTGAAACTCTAAATTTGGCCCAGGTCCCCATCTTGCCACCCAGCCCTTACCTAGCTGTGTGGAAGCCTCAATCACACTCCATGGTATGTTCTTACGTTGCCCAATGATGACATCCAGCACAAAGGCCTTGAGTCCATCCTCCAGCACGGCCCGGACCGCAGGGCACAAGTACTTCAGAACTAGGTGGCCCACATTGGGGCTCACAGAACTGTTTCCCAGCTTTGCCTGCAGATGCAGTTAGGGATGTGCAGGAAATCACTTTAAGCCTGACCTTGGTCCTCTCTTAGTCAACCCTGATAGTTCCCTCTTGCCATTACCATCCCTAAGTCCCCAACGCTGGGTTCTAAATGCAAGAGAGCAGGGGAAAGTGGCAGTACTGAATAGGTGAGCGTCTGCACAGGAGAGCTTAGGTCTCCACATTTTCTAGCTTACCTTCACCCCAGGATCCCGGCTTGTGCCAAAATGGGCCACAATGAGGTCCACAGCAGTGTTAACGGCTTTTACCAGCCCTGCAAGGGAGAATTTGATGTGTCAGGTCCCTGAGCAAGTTCCCAACGCAGTCAGAAGGGGAAGTGTTCTCACACTTACTCTCAGTCCCTACACTTGTACATAAGTCTCCTCAAAGCATTCAGGTCTGGCCCTTTTCTGTTTCTGCCTAGTTCTCAGCCCTTTCTGTCTCTACCTCCCAGTTTGGACCCACATCAGTGACACCACTGCCAAGACCCTCAATGTCCTCATTTCTTAGCCCTCTTGGATTGATTCTGGATTTCTCCATTCTGAGAAACTAGGCCACTGATCTGAAGAAAACCCAAGTTCCTCACACCAGTGCCAGATGAGGGTGATTCTTTGATATGTGCCTTGATAGCATCTTCTGCTATACACCTGGGCTACCATGCCAAAGTTTACCCTCTAGTCTTTGATTCTAATTCACAGAACAAACATGAATTCCTTCAATGTCCCCCTCCCTCTAAAACATAAAATGACATTATATCTATACTCTCCCCTCCCTCCTGCCCTCTTGCTTCCTTCACATCTTGGAGGAAGATGCCTGTTCCCCTCTTGCCCAAGGTTCTTCCTTCTCTCCGAGCTCTGAATCTCCAGGAACTTTGGCTTCATCTTTCTCCCCTTTCATAGGCTCCCCCCCCCCCCACAACTGTACTCAATTCTCTTCCCACCCTTTTGCTAAAATTGTTATTAGTTCAGTGGTTGCTTATCTTAGTAGTGGTCAGAGTCCTGATCTTCATAGTAGTCACCAACATGATTACCCAAGCTGCTAGGCCCACTGGTACCTTCAGCTGCCCCTCTAAGAGTACTCAGGCATTTGTTTATTACATGGAAGCCTTCCTTTCTAGACTTAGCTCACTGGGGGAAGGGACTGGAGCCTGACTCTTAAGGGTCTGTGATAACAGACCCTTGCTCACTCACACATACAATGCACAGTTCACAGACTTCTCTTGCCCCAGTACCTGTGCTCTTCAACTCCTTCCCAGCACTTGGAGTTTTAAGACAGGGAAATATTTGGGAGGGCTAGAGAGGAGGGCAACAGGTGTGATAGGTAGTGGTAGCAGAATCCAGGGCTTGAACTAGGGGTTATATGCACCTTTTTTCTGAAGCAGATCAATGGAAATGGCTTCAGAGCTGCCATCTGGGGACAAACAAAACTCAGCTGGAGGCTTCTCAGTCAAGGAAAAGGGGTCTTGTAAGTCTGGATAGGTCAGTGGTAATGGCTTCACTACTTGACCTGAAAAGAAGAGAAAAATCAGTCTTTAGCAACTGTCATTCCAAGAGTTGCAGCTCAGTTCACACTCTCTGAGACATGTTCCTTTGAGACTGGCCCCTTCTCTAGTCCTTCCTAGCTGTG